TATCACCCGAATGAATCTGGGAATATATAATTCCAAATCATTATTTTTCAAATTAGCTAAGTTTTTTTGTCAATGAGATAATTTGCTGTTTGTAATATTTTATTTTTATTCTGATTCTGTTTCTTCCTATCGAGTCCAAACTAATAATATTATTATTCAATTTAGAAAAATTTTAAAGAATTATATAACCTACCTGCACCGCATTGAGTCTTACACGAAAATCATCGCTATTATTCTTCACATAAATTTCATATGGTCCTGTATCCGACATACTGTGCCTATGGTATGTTTTCATTACCTGTTTTTTGTTGATTTTCGTAGAGAGGTTCTAATCCGCTTTTCCTGTTGACATATTCTGCAATTTTTTCAGCTGTTTTCATATTAAAAATAGTATTATTACCTATTATTGGTGATTCTGTATCCATATAACTAGGAGGTTATTCGGGGAGTTTACCCCCATAATTTGTTTAATTAAGATTCTCTGAGAAACACTTCCGACAAGTACGAAGTCTATCACAGAACTCGTGGAGGATGTTATAGGCGATTTCAAAATAATATTTTGTCAGGTAGGGAAACATTCGACTCTGAAAAATTTTGAATTATGTTTGTAGTATAAATATAAACACAACTTAGAGAATCACTAGTGTGACCTAATGAGTACCGAAAATTAATTTTGCTTAGGTTCCTCAAAACTCGAATTTGTTGTAAAACACTCTTTATAATAATGAATAGTTACAAATTCCCCAAAACTGGAATACGGTAGATAATGTACTATAAACTAAAAAATAGTTCCGAAGGTCCTATAGGTAGCAATCATCACACCACTCTCCTCAATCTACGGTATCGATCAGATAAAAAAAAATAAAATCATTGGGCGTAGTGTAACCTGCATATATATGTAAATACTACTCCCAACGATTTTATTATTTTTTATTTGATCAATACCGTAGATTGCTGAGGTAAGTCGTGACTGCTACCTAGGACTTTCCGAATTAGTTTTTAGTACATTATCGACATCACTATCATCTTTTTTTTTTTGATGAAATTGTTTAACATACATTTTTTTACTAAATTTATTTTCAAGGTTTTAGTTTCTAATTGTGTTACTCAATTCTTCTCATTTCATGAGTACTGACTTCAGAATCAATAAAATTAAAAGGATTAGCTAAAAAATAACAATTATATTAGACAAAAAACTGAAATTACAATGAAATAAAATACAAGCAACAATAGAAAATTGAACAATTAACAAGAAATGAAAATTAAAATTATAGGATTTCAAGCCAAGTTACTTGCTGCTTTCTCTTTGCTGTGTGTATTTCTTGTGCTCGGCAATGCGAACTTTCAATGGCCTCTTCATGGATTCTCCGCACTCGCAGGGTATCCGGTAAATGCAATTGTTAGAGTCGCCTGGAGTTGGTGGCCTGCAGTGGCGGCGCCATAGGGGGACATGGGGGAAAGTATTCCCCTCTAGCCATTTGCAAAATTTTGTTCTTGGCGCTCTTTCGATTTTGAATATTTTACAAATATATTGTTAGGTACATAACACGGAAAACCAATAAACGCGGCAACATTCGCTTTCAATACCTCGACATCGATCAGTTGTGAATCCCATATCGCTCGCTGTCTAATGCGAATGTGATCATTTTCTAAGAGATTGGAAATTGATTGTATCTCGGCGTGGCAGTAGTAGTAGTCTGGTTTATTATTGTTACTTTGACGAATAAACAGTTTGTCGATTTTATTAATTATAGAAAAAAAAAGATAAAATTGTCCAGGGCGGATTATCGAAAGTTACGCGAAAAGAAGAAGTTAAAATATGCTGCTACATCACATTCTCAAACAAAATTAAATTTTTATAAAGCTTTCAATTCGTAAGTTGTTAATTTTCAGTTGAAGATCCGAAATCGTATTCATTATGGAAACTTATACATTTACAGAAAAACAAAAGAACAAATAATTCAAATTCAAAGTTGTGTAGAGTAATCGGTGCCAAATAAACATGACACTACGGAGAGTACGGTCAGTACGGAGTCAACATTTCTTGATGTTCCATCTACATCAACCGATATAGTAAGAACAAAGTCCGATTTTTCATTAGGTTCTGCTGATTTAACATTTACGGAAGTAGATTATAATTCGGATTTGGATAGTGATAGTACTCAAGAACAAGACGATTCTGAGAATGAAGATGGGAAAAGCATTTTGTTTTACGTGGATCATTTTATAAATGAAATTTCATTTTTGTAGTTATATTCACCTTTCTGTCGATGAATATGCTTATCCCGTCGACCCATTTTTATTCAAAAATACTATTTTCCAGTGTCCAATTACAGAAAATTTAACCTTTCCTGGTAGGTATAAACTTAAAAAAAAAACGACTTTTGGACAGCGCAGCGTACGCGAGTGTTTAGTTTACTCTCCAAGAGGTAATAAAATGTTTTGTTTTGTATGCTAACTTTTTAATAGTGCGCATTGTTTATCACTGAAATATTTCTTTTATTATAGTTTTGTGATATTATTTCTTTCCTTAATGGGAATACAGTATTACTTCAAACACCTATGCCTTTTTACTGAATCTTGGCGCCCAGTTCGGGTGCCCCCCCCGCCATTAAATTTTAGAATCGCCACTGGTGGCCTGGTTTTTGTGAGGCTGCTACGGATAGTTTTCCCAGATTTGAAGCTGGTTCTGATGTTATACTTGGACCCAATTCTTATTATCCTTTCCGATAAACCTCTGATGTAGGGAAGTACAAGTAGTGGTTGTGACGGCTTCTCTTCTTTGTTCTTGTCTTCAAAATATCTCCTTTTCGACGCGTTTCACGAGAAAAATATTTATATAAAAAATTGAACTAGAAAAAATTTCCTACAATTTATCTATTCATGATTTTTTTTATAAAATCAATAGTTATTGGCGTACGAGCACCGCAAAGTGCATTTCAATAGACGTTTTGAGAAAAAACTTATTTCCACACCACCTACAGGTAGAATAAGCGGCGCGTTTTTTTTTCATAGTTTTCGCTGTAGGCCACATGTGATGCATTTATTTAGAAATTTTGCGCAATCTCCTCAGCTTTGGTGTTTCTGATGGACCAGGCTTTATAACTTCGACTTGGGTACCGATCGAGACATCGCAGACCGGAATTTCGTCCGCATCATCTGCAATGCGATTATCAGACTCACCACAAGCCTCTTCGATTTCATCAAAACTGTTTACGAAAATAATCGCCGTTTCTTCTTCTTCATCGTAATTACATGATGGAATTTGCGAACTATCACAAGTACCACTCCAATTGTGCCTATAACGGACCATTTTAATATTGCTTTTCTGTATCCATAGGCTTTCGGACATCCTTTTTTGCAATTACAAGAAATAAGTTTTGATAACGATTCTGAAGCTGGAAGTTTGAATATCGTAACAGGAATAACCCCATTTTTGTTTCTTTTCCAGCCCCATTTTTGGCTTCTTTTTCATTTTCTTACCACTGCTGAACCTGGTGAAAGGTTCGGAATGAATGTTGTCGTGCTGCTGCTTCTGTTGGTGATAGCGACGCAATATTAAATTTACTTTTATATGCTGATTTTGTGAAGCATACATATATATCTGTCTAAAGACATGTTTTTCTTACTTTCCACATCACTGTAACCGTATAATTCAAGGAGGAAACGTTCTTCTGCTTTAGCAATGATCTCTGGATCAACGTTTGGATTTTTAAATACCTCAATAACCTCGTTCAAATCAGGATTTTTCCGGAGTACATTAACGAAATTCATTTTTTCTTGATTGTAAAGTGCACATGACTCGTCAAAAAGTATGTCTACTGAAGCAGTTATTCGTGATCGTCGGGATCGCTCCGCGTAGGTATTCGGTACTTCGGTTTGCTACATCTTCAGGATATCCGTCGAATACTATTATGACATTGAATTTATATTTCGATCGAACGTACGTAATGTATTTACTGCACTCCTCAAATCCAAAACAAGTACTGTTCCCAAACATCAAAACTGCAACACTCTTTTAGACGCGAGTTTCACCATCCAAGTTGACGTCTTTAGAAGTTGAAGTAGACTAATAATTTCTACTGAAATATAAATTATGCTTTCAATCTCGTAATTTCGATTTTATTCTCAAAATTTCGAATTTATTCTCAAAATTACGATTTTGATCTCAAAAATGCGACTACAATTTCGAAATTACGACTTCAAACTTGAAATTTCGACTTTAATCTCAAATTTACGGCTCTACTTTCGAAAGCACGACTTTAAACGCGAATCTATGACTTCAAACTCTTCATTTCAAAATTCGAGATTAGATTCTGAATTTCGAGTTCAAAGTCTTAATTTCGTGATTATAGTCGAAATTTTGAGACTTAAGTCGAAATTTTGAATTTCAATGTCGCAATTTGGCCCTTCTGCGCTTTCCTAAATTTCTAACTAAACTTATTCATATCTAACAGGATAACTTTCAATTTCGAACACATATAAATGATTTGGGTGAGAATTTAATGGAAAATTTACTCGTGAAAGTTCCCGCTAATTTCAGCAGAGCGATTCATATGAACGTAAACAATGGGCTGTTTGGCATATGACCTTTCTCACTGTTCACAGTTCTCGTACCACACTTTTCAGGCTTTCAAAACCATGAATCTAGTGTCATGCACCGATCTTAACAAATTTTGAAGTTGTTGTTTTGGACTTATTCTATGCCAGAGGTTCTAGTTCTGCCTTTAATCATTCCTTAATACAAAAATCTGAAAAGCATATTTGATACACAATGAATTCGAGACACGTTTCAACTTTTTTGCTTTCAAGTACAAAGAGCTGAGTTTTATCTTTTTTAAAAGACAAGCCGCTTAAAAGCATTGTTGATTTGGCAAGATGTTAATTTATCGAATTATATGTAAACTATCTTTTCTATAAAATTAGAAAATAAACTCATTTGTGAACCGACCCTGTATTACTACAAATAATGTTAAAATTTCAAAATATTGAACTTTCATTGTCAAATATGATTTTGGTCTGTCCATTTGAGTCAATGTCACTTTTTCATAATAGTTGTCCAAATTTTCAGTTCAAAAATGCTCAAAACAATACATACTATTAACAAAATTCGTGAATCTATCTCTAGTTCCGTTTTAGATTTCAACACTAAACCAATATTTCTACAAAAAGTTTATGGTGGGTTGAGTCCAATTCAAACAGTTAGGAGTTTCTCTTCAAATCCAAACCATGTTAAAGTAACTATAATTGGAGCTGCAGGTAAGAAGTCCGAAGTGTTTGATATCGAAGAAAATATTTTTGTAAAGATTTTTGTATAAGGGTGAATTAATTCTGTCAGAATTTTTTTCATCTTTTTGATTCCTCTAGAAATGTTATATTGTGTAATCACACTACACAACATAAAAATAAAAAAAGAAGAACCTACTGATTTAGCTGACAAATTATAATTAATACATGAAAGGGAGGGCGTATTTTCGATTGTACTTTTGTCGTCTACCTACTTAAAGCGAATATTTTATCTGAAAGGATACCTATATGAATTCAGTAAAATTAATTATGAGTATTTGCAGTTTCTCACTTTAATATGTTTATTAATGATAACAAAGATGTTTATAACAAGAATAAAATTCAAATAGTAATAAAATACTGATTCTTCATACTAATTCTTCACACACCACATGCACGCGCATTTATTCGCCATCACTGTCTTATGCGAGAAGCTTTTAGATGACGTAAAATTGTGTTACTATAAAAGTACCCCTTTGAGTTATACCTTTATAGATTATTTAAAATTCCAGAAAAAAATTATCTAGTTTGAACTTCTTTACCTTTTTTGAAGGATGCCCCAGTGCGAGTCTTTCAAAAAAGAATTTTGAGAGATGAATCCAAAAATGAAAATGATACAGACTACACAATCAAAATCAACTAGGTTTGAGAAATATACTTTTGTATAATATGGTTACACCCTGCCGACAGATATTGGCAAAAACGGTTTTGGAAAACATTTTAAAAAATTGTTAATTTTTTTTTCAATCGTTTTCAAAAATGAAATATAAATAAACATCATTGAATGATTTATCAAAGATATAAAAACTCCCACTTCCCGAACTGTAAGCAGGAAAAACTTTTGCTCGACTTGAATTTCAGCAACAAAGTGAACATACTTGATACTTCAATCAAAGTGTCAATTTTCAATCCTAAAGATGCCAACCTTGTTGACGAAACACACGTTAAGTGCAAGTAGTTTTAGTTTGGTGTTTGGATAACTGCACATTATCGAAAAGTTATGTACTTCATCTGAAAAGTACTACCGTTGTAATCCTCGACTAATCTGAAAATTAGGTTTCCTCATCGACTTTCGAGTGAACTCTGCATCTCCTATTTCAAATATTATATTCACTCTCGCCAGACCTGCGATGATATATCTTGGCAACACCGCAGGAGCCTGTTTATATCATCAAAATATGTACAATGGGGCTTTGTAAAAGCAAATGAATATCAATGGATTCGTAATATATTGTTGTGAATCATTCCCTAAAATAATAATGTCAGCCACCGCTGGTCGTCGTAAATCAGTTTTGACGTGGCTAAGATCGGACTTAGCTCGATTGGCGCTTCGCGATTATTCTAGATGTCTCGTCGCTTTGATAGACTTTTTTCGAATTCCCTATCGGCTTCGAGATACTTCGATTATCATATAAAGGGTGTTTCCTAACTACGGTACGAAACTTCAGAGCGGGATTTGTTGGGTCGTTTTAAGAAAAGAAATCCTGTGTGTGCTTTGTTTCTGAGGGCGTTGAAGTTAAAACGATATTTATAAAATATTAAAAATATCCTTACACCGATTTGGTTGAAATTTGCTACCTTTATTTGAATGAGGCGCATATTTAGTCCTAACTAGTTTGGAATCATTAGGTCCAGTGGAGTCTCAGTGGGCACCACAGCCAACAATATTGGGAGTTTAAAAAGAAGCTTAAAGGAGTTGACAAAATATTAGAAGAGGTTTCCCGGAAACTTCTCCCTAGCAGTAGTTTTATTGAAACTCTCATACCAGCTTTGGTGGTGGTGAGCACCTTGAACAAGTATACCAAGCTCAATTGAAAGTGAGAACTCAAGGTTCATCCCAACTAGAGCATCGGAGCTATAAAAACTAAAATCAACCAGTGTTAGGACGGGTATATTGGCTGCTGGATCGCAGGACTCCAGGTATTCGATTTCCACGATAGGACTCAACAGTAACAGCTTGATTGTCGACAGATTTCTGAATAATCATCAGTGCCCTTTCACCGTCGATACTGGGGTAACGTGGTCAGTAATGAGAACCGACATTTCCAACCGAAGCAGTTTGAAGAAATAATCAGTGGAGCCATCTATCTGAAGAAAAACTATGCAAGGCCACCCAATTCGTAGAGGATTGTAAAGGGCAAAATCATTGGTCGAACGGAATCAGTTTAACATTGGATCGATACGCCAACCACCGAGACGATTTCCTTCCACAAAGCAGGACTAAGTTTCATTCATCGTTAAGGACATGTTGAAGGAAGGAGTAGTCGAGGAATCAAACAGCCCCTGATCGTCACTTGTTATGTTGATGACTAAGAAAGATGGATCGACGAGATTCTGCGTAGACTACAGGAGGCTTAATGATGTCACCAGAAAGTATAGTTACCCTCTTACAAGAATAGATGATACCTTGAACATCTTGGCTGAATGCAGATGATTCTCTAAACATTAGATCTGAAAAGAGGATATTGGCAGGTGGCCGTTCGCCCCGAGAATAAAGAGAAGACTGCCTTTTCCACCGGCAATTATATCAGATTAAGTTTATATTGTTTGGATTATGCAATGCACCCACAATATTTGAACGCTTGATGGAGTTGGTGCTGAGGGAACTCACCTGAAAAACATGATTAGTCTGTGTCACTGTTTTCCGGGTTCGAAAGCCGTTGATTTTTGGATTTTTATTCTGACGTTGAGTCATCGAATATTAATTCAGGATGTATAAACCTCTGAAGAAGCTAGCCACTTGCGTTAGCGTAACATTAGGATGAAATTTCAAAAATCTACGGCATTCGAAACCGGAAAATAGTGACACTGAAAATCTTGGCCGCCAAAGTCTCAACCATCATGCTCAGTCTATCTTGATGACATTATAGTGGACTCTGTACCATTTAACGGCGTTTCGTGAAGGACTTTGGAAAAATTGCCAGACCGCTGCATATCTTGACTAACGAGAACTCCCTTCGTTTCACTGTTGACCAGTGTCCCAGTCCTAGCTTACTCGACACGGATGTATCCCAACATGGAATAGGAGCAGTACTCTCTTGTACAAAGTACGAGAAAAGAGCTTCTCGCAGAGGTCAAAGAGGTGAATCGCTGCCACTCCTTTTCATATGGCCGTAAATTCTTGATCAGGTCAGACTTGGCTCTGCAACTTCGAACTCTCAGGAGGACAAATAGCCATCAGGAACGAAGAGTTACAAACTTATGATTTTTAAATTCGATATCGGAAAGGAAAGCGTCTCGGAAACGCAGATGGCCTCTCAAGAATACCATGCCTGACATCTAGAGGACAGGGATTCCCAGCTACCAGGAGAAGAACTTTTCACCAGACGTGACGAAGAATCGGGCAGATACTCCTTTATGGACAGCTCTGATGGGGAGATTAACTTCCCTACCTCCCGCTGGTTTAGGTTCTCTCTGACCCGGAAGGTAGCAACCTCAGAGTAACAAAAGACAATAGTGAGGCTTTTTCCATCCTTACATTGAAGGCAGCATAATTTTGTTACGGGGAAGTAAGTTGGACCATACAACAGTGGCGGTCGGTTTAGTTGATAACCGGAGGGATACTATATATTTATAAAATAAAACATTTCAGGCGAAAATGTATTCTGTTGAAATAATTCCTATAGGAAAACTGATTTATTATTAATGATTATGGAAATGGAGCCAGTTTTTCTACCACCTACTAGATTTTTATTTATGTATGGCTTTATAATAAATAATAGGTAATCTAGTAGGTGGTAGAAAAACTGGCTTCATTTTCATAATCATTAATGAATAATAAATCAAACTATTTAAACAGAATACGTTTTCACCTGAAATCATTTATTTCATAAATATATAATATCCCTCCGATTATCAACTAAACCAACCGCCACTGTCTTATGGTCCAACTTACTTAAAATGTAAACAAACTCTTCATAACTTCTCATTACCCGCCACCACTCTCGCCCATAAGTTGTACAGAAAAGGATAGAACGATACCCGTTTCAAAATACATGTATTGTATGGTATTGGTATAGGCACCGTACAGGCATGGCAACTCTATGTCTTATCATAACTCTGATGTAGCAACCTATAAGGTCCCTTGTCTAGGGATACGTACAGAATATGTGAGGAATCACCTGACCATGGTGTGGTACGGTCGTTAACAGCCTCCGAGTGTGACACTACCTTTATAATGAGGCAATATATCATTGTAGTGCAGAAGAAGGTTCCGGCCGTGAATACTGTACGAGAATGGATTGACAAGAGAGTGAGGCCGAAATGTAAGGAGAGTTCCAAGCAGGAACAGTGTTTAATGGCTCCAATGGACCTCCATGTACATTCGAGATGACCTACTCACTCGGAAATGGGAAAGCCCGGATGGATGAACCCACAAATTCTAGATAATCATTTGGAAGATATGTTTAGCGAATATACTCGAACTGCTCCACGATGGTCGCACGGAAGAAGAGTGAATAGAACTGTGCTCTTCGAGAAAGTTTCCGAGGACAAGGCAAAGAGGAAGGTTGAAACAGTAGGTACCTCAGTGGGTGCCTTTTCGAGAGAATCGCAGTTGACATTCTGGGACTATTTCCTATGACTACATCTGGTAACAAGTACTTTATGGTTGCGATGGACTATCTCTCCAAATTGCCCAACCGAAAAGTATAAACGGTGGCAGAAGCCTTGTTTTAGAACATAATTGCCAGACACGGAGTACCCTAGGATCAGGGCCGCAACTTCGAATCGGATTTATGGAAGGAAATGGTGACTTTCTTAGGAATAAAGACGACAAGAACAACTGATCTTCACCCACATATGCACCATAAATAACTACATCTCGATGTTTGTCACCGAAAACCAACTATAAATTGGTTGTTGGAACTAGTCTAGCTCTAAACTGCAAAGAACACCGGAAGATGGCAAAAGAAACTTTGCCGAAACGTTGTGAAAATAATCCTTGTGAGGAACAAAAACACGAAGCGAAACCCGGAAAAACATTTTTTGACTTTTGACCTTAGAATATCTAGTCGCAGACACCCTGCGATAAGTAGGTTTTGAGACAAGTTTCAGGATGCCAAAATAAAGATTCGTACAACTTTATAGCTGACTATCTCTCATTCCGAGATAATTACCCTCATTTGACTAATATTCTAGGACTAATAATGTGAGAAGTAACTCTCAAACCTCCTGTCAAATTCTCACCTTCAGGTACCTGTCCTTTCAACTGAAAATACTCTTTAAATAAAAACGAACTTTAAAACCTCAGGCCGAATTTCCTTCTACCCTACAGGTACCTATCCACCTGTAACAACATGGGAAAATCGAAAAACTTGAAAAATACAAAATTCGTTGAATTAGGAAAGTGAACCATTTCAGTTAATTTCAGTTAAAAATTTCTAAAATTCCGGTCAATTATAGAGATATTCTAAAAAAGTACAAAATTCGTCAATTTTGTTTCAATTCCTCAGCTGGCGTTTTTCAAGCAGTATAAGATGACATTTACATGTATCAAACATAATAGGAATTTTCTAAATTTTGAAACTTCACTTAAACAAGCTCTAAAAGTGGGAAACTTCTTTCTAATTTAAACGACTTTGTATTTCTCACGGTTTCCGATTTTCCCATACCGGACCTCCTTATCTTGAATCAATTTTAAATTCCTGACTATTCTGTTTCTGAAGTTTAAAATTTTCATGGCTACAAGTAAAATTCGAACTTTGGTTATCCGGGCTGGGTAACTCTGGTCCAAAATGGAGAGGTTAACTACGAACGTTTCGCCTTCTCGTTGCAACGCGTTGGTAGAATCGTTAATGAACCTCTATGCAGTGTGTGTGTCATTGATATTTAGAGTAGTGTGGAGGACTTTCCTGATTGGCTCTGTTTCTTTCAAGATAAGAAACTCATCTTATGCCACACTCTCGGTTCTATTAGAAAATTATGAATGTTCAGGTCTTGTCTTATTACATTTGAGATAAGTTCTTTTTTAGGTATTCTAACCGCCTACAGAGCCCTCTACAAAATAGGCTTTGGATAATCAATTTAAACATAACAAAAAATTTCACAAAATGGTTGATTTTTTCTAAAGTTGACAGGTTATATATAATATATTATTAATTGTTAGTAATAGAAAATAAATTCTTTGTCGATACATTTCAGGAAAGATTGGTCAACCATTGAGCCTCATGTTGAAGCAGTCTCCTTTGATAGATGAATTATGTGTACATGATGTACATCCAACTAGTGGTTTTGCCATGGAACTGAATCACATTGATACAAACTGTAGAGTGTCCGCATTTACAGGAAAAGATAATTATGCTTCTGCTCTGAAAGTAGGTATTCTTAAAATAAAACAGTAAATTTACTAAAAATTACAACACACATTTTTAGAATTCCAAAGTTGTTATTGTGTTGGCTGCAGCTCCAGAATCAGATTTATTACCATATGAAAAAATGTGGTCTCCTAACGCACATACGATACAGGAAATCACAACACAAATCGCTCGACATTGTCCAAAGGTATATAGCTCACCAATCGAAATTCAATTGATTTTTCTGTTGAATAATATAAAAGCCTATATCTATTTATAGATGTAATGTTTTACTTTTTATCGACCTTTTCTTGGTATTTTCACCTTCCATAATCTCAACGTTTCGGATGTTAAAGTCTACCTCCGTTTTTAAAATTGAAAAAAAAATTAATGACTAATGATACTCAAACATCATCGACAGATATCAAAGGAGTTTTGAAACGTTACAATTGTGTAAAGTGAAAGTGTCCAAAAACAGGTCGATAAAACTTTTGATTTCCTCAACAAAAAATGAACATTCGTTCAACATTTTGCTGTTTCTTGAGTTTTTTTTATCGAAAATAGGGTGTAATTTACAATATTATTGGAATAGTTGATTCCATTGCAGGCGTTCAGCATGAAATAGCGGAAAGCGAGGCGCTGAAATACTACATAAAAGTGTGTTTAAAATTAAATTGCCTTAACTTCATCTGTAGGTTAGATATAGCAATTATACTTTCTAACCCATTCAACGGTGAAGCGGCTTAACCACTGGAAGCTTTGGGCGCACATATCTTCCTCCAATGAAATACCAATTTTGAAAGGGTGAAATCACGAGAATTTTTTCTAATTTTTTTTTAAATTCGGGTATTCCACATTAAAACATGTTTCTTGAAAAGGATGTATTCCACACCAAAAAGAAGATTCAAGTTGAAGACTCCCTATTCAATAATTACTTTGCATCGTTATTCTGATTTTATTATTTATTGACCAGTATTTTTTATTGTAACTTTAAAGGCATTCTTGGCAATTGGAACTAACCCAGTCAATAGTTTAGTGCCAATGACATGTGAAGTGCTGAAAAAAGCTGGAACATTCAATCCCAACACAGTATTTGGTATTACTTCTCTTGATACAGTCAGGGCAAATACCTTTGTGGCTCAAATACAAGCAGTTGAACCAGAATGTGTTATGGTACCAGTTATAGGAGGTCACACAGAGGAAACCATAATTCCCGTCTTATCACATGCGAAACCAAGTGCCGAATTTACAAACGTAAGTAAAATGATTGTTATTTGAGACAGTGGAAACAGGAGAAAATTAATTCTTCCGAGATTGCTTACTTATCTTTAAGGTGAGATTTTTCTTAAGTAATTTCAAGAGGTGATTCTTCGTGATATTTTACGAAAGAGTTCCTATAAGCATATGCTCAAAACTCACTCTTATGTTCTGTGTATTTTATCCCCATAAGAATTATTTTCACAACGTTTCGGCAAAGTCTCATTTGCCATCTTCTGGTGATGTCTGGTTGAAAAACCCAGGGAAACAGCAAGTTGTTGATAATTATTATTTCAAGCTACTCAAAAATCTTTTGCAGGAAGAATTGGAAAATGTCACAATGAACGTTAGGAAAGCTCAGGATAATATGCTGAAACTAAAACCTGCGGAAAGTGCCCCCCTAACAAGTGCTTTTGCCACAGCAAGATTTGTGATATCACTTGTCAAAGCAATTCGAGGTTACCCTGAAATAATCGAATGTGCTTATGTGAATTCCAAAGTACACCCCCAACTGAAGTATCTTTCCACTCCACTATTAATTGGTCCAAATGGTATAATTAGAAACTTGGGAATCCCAAAATTGAGTGAATTTGAATCATGTATGCTGGATAACGCTATACCAACTTTGATGAGTGATATAAAGAGAGGAGAGAAATTTGTGGGAGTTATTGATCCACCTTCTTGCGATCCTTGTGATCCAAATCTCAATGCACCAAGATGTCCACGAAATTGGTGTGAATTCAAAAGAGAACAGGGCAGAACAATGTAATAAGTGATACATGAACTTGAATATTCATGTGTTTTGTAATTTAATTCATAAAAAAAACATGTTTTGATGAAGATGAAAGAACAAACTCAGTAAAATATTTATAAAAAAGTTGCCTTATTGCCTTCTGTCCAAGTAAAATTTCGAAAAATCTGAGAGTTTTTTTTAAAACATTATTCACATGAAGAACTATTCTCTTTGAAAATAGTGTAACATTTTTTGTTTTCTACTTCTACTAGATTTGAAAAACGTATAATTTCCAAGGCATCAATGGATACCTATAGACTGAATAATGAAATTACTTTTTCCTAACATCCAAGAGTTGTCATTGACGGTAATTAATTTAAATTTGTTTATTAGGCGACTGACCAACCTTCCAACCTTCAATCATTACTTTTATGGATATAATGTAATGTTTTCATGTTTATATACTTCCATGCTCTTTCATGCTTCGAGTCTAGTCTCTAGTCTCTAAAGTTAGCTATGATTTTGAGGTTAGGATAGTTGTAAATAGAGATTGAAAAGTAATAATGATTTGTGTAAGATACCAAAAACATTCAAAGAAAAGTTTTTTGTATCACGAAAAACACACCTAATGAACTTGCGATACCTGCTATAATATCAAGACGCCTAATTATTGATTCAGGGTTTCGTATTGCAAAACTACCTGTCTTTTGATACCAAGGTGGGATATCCCAAGAATAATAGTTGTAGACTACTCTTTCATGTAGGTAATACTGCATTTTACTTTGTGATATTGATGATTTATTTATTTTGTGGAAATTCATCTTCAATTAAATGATATAGAAATAAAATACTTTGTCTAATTTCCATTTACTTAATGTATTGATATTAATATGACCAATGTTTCGGTTTATATACCATTCTCAAGTATTCTAACACTACTGACCTTGAGAAATATCGGAGTATATATATATATCCGAGAGTAGGTAATAAGATATATACCTACATTCATTAGTACCAACTACATAAACTTCAAACTGTGATTAATTGCGTTGTCATCTTTATAAATTCAAAAGTGGAGACCTACACAAATCTGTTTGTTCGTAAAGGTTTCTATATTTTGAGTTTTTAATTGATTTATTGATTTCCATGGATTCCAACAAATTCATTTTCCTTCATTTACTACTTATATGTACGATTTTGAGGTTTTCCTTACTTATTTCGTGGTTTGTTTCTTGTAGATGTTCGTACATAGAAGATTTTTTGTCTAAACCGACGTGTTCACGGAGTCTTACTTCGAAATTTCTACCGGTCTGGCCTGTATATACTACAGAGCATTCACTACATTCTAATCTATATATGCTAGATTTCTTCATTCTGTCACGTCTAGTTTTTGCATTAAATATGATTTTGCCTAAATTATTATTACTTATGAAAGATGTTATTATGTTGAATTTGGAAAACTAATTTTGAATATTTACTGGAAGTTTACCTGAGTAATTAATGCTGCTATATTTGTATGTATTCTGTTCTTTGATGTATGGGTACAGTTCTCCCATAATAGTTTTATGGGTTTTACCTGAAATAATCTTTCAACTAAGGACACCGGTACCTGGTTATTGACCGCTATTTGTTTGATGACTTTCAATTCATTCAGAAAATTCTCTTCAGGTAAAGAGATTGTGAATGCTCTGTGTATCACGGACCTAAAGACTGCTAATTTATGTGAGGTTGGACTGAAAGAGTCGAAAGGGATCGTACAATCTGTGAATGTATTCTTTCGATAGATATTAAATTGAAAATAAATCTGGCATATATAGATTAGAATGTAGTGAATGCTCTGTAGTATATACAGGCCAGACCGGTAGAAATTTCGAAGTAAGACTCCGTGAACACGTCGGTTTAGACAAAAAATCTTCTATGTACGAACATCTACAAGAAACAAACCACAAAATAAGTAAGGAAAACCTGAAAATCGTACATATAAGTAGTAAAGGAAGGAAAATGAATTTGTTGGAAGCCATGGAAATCAATATATCAATTAAAAACTCAAAATATAGAATTCCTAACGAACAGATTTGTGTGGGTCTCCACTTTTAAATTTATAAAGATGACAACGCAATTAATCACAGTTTGAAGTTTATGTACATGTAGATATATATCTTATTACCTACTCTCGGATATATATACTCCGATATTTCTCTTTGGTCAGTAGTATTAGAATACTTGAGAATGGTGTAAAAACCGAAACCTTGGTCGTATTAATGTCAATACATTAAGTAAGTGGAAATTAGACAAAGTATTTTATTTCTATATCTATGTAGTTTGTACAGAGTTAAGGAAGTTTTAATAAACGCCAAGAGTTGTTTTTAATTATTTAATATATTACTTGAACAACGGTTCAACTACAACTACTTCTTCTTCTTAAAAAATAAACATCAAAACATAAAACTATTTTATATTTATGACAAACAGTGTTGCCAATCCTAATACCAACTTAAAATAGATTTTTCGTTGCTTTTCTTTATTAATTAGGTTTTACAACAATCTATATCATTTAACTGCATTTTACCAATGATTAGCAGTTCACGAGTGCGTATATGCTTACGTATGTAAATATGTATGCTTCCAAACAGCGCATCACAAGTTTATTTCACTTTTATTAATAATAATATTATATTTATTCACTAGAATATACATAATAATTAAGGTAGGTAGGTGAACGGTTTTTATGATATTTTTGTACATAATTTACATAGTATGAAATACATACATGAAATGAAATATAAATGAATGAGTATGAGTGATAATCCACAAAAACATATGCTTGTCGTGGAACAATGGAAAAAATAATGATAGAAAATAATAAACGATAAAGTGTTGACGAAAAGAACAGTTAACGTATACATATACATACATACACATATACCTACACACACATATACACATAACATAAACACACATACACTTATACAGGGTGTTCTTTAAACACATGCTAATATTTAAGAAGGTAATTCTTAGATCCGTTTTAAGAAAAAAACTTCCTATGGATGTATGTCTTAAACGTCTTAACTTTTGAGATACAGGGTGGCAAAGTTTTCAAAAATAATCAGTTTTTTAATAATAACTAAGATAATTTTGTAGATATCTTTGGCATATTTAGTACATATGTTCCATGCCTCACGGCGCATTTTCTGATGTACACAAATTTGTATTTTTTCAAACAGTGGCATTCCTACGGGTTTCGCATTGAATATTTTTGGGGAAAAAGTACTACGCCAATGATTTCTTTTCAAAATAAAATCATTTTTAAAATCCTCATTTATTTTTGAGAAAATTTGATCTCCTGGTATTTCTTTGTCCGACGCATGATTTTCACTCAAAAAAATAAAAATCGACAGAAAGCAAATTAAGAAATTAGATCAATTCTAAAAT